AACTTCACATGACTCTATTGTGAAGTGTAGTGACTGCCTGTATGTTGGTGAAGGCGCAATCAATTGGGATGAATAAAAGGCAATCTGATAGATACTTGGGACTTTTGGGGCAGTACGAGATATCAAAGGAATAATATTAATAATCCTTGCATTTGACATAGCGCCTCATCACATCTTCGAGACGTCTCACAGCACTTCACAGGATATACCGTAAAGTGAATTGAATGTATATTTTGTGGGTGAATGGGTGTGAAATGACATTAAGTTTGGCCATGATGTAATAAAATAGTGGGCTGGGTGGCCTCCTCGTCCTAACTGCCTATCTTAACGTATCCCAGGTGTTGCTGTCTGAGGCACCTCTTACGAATACTCAGACATGAATTGCTAAGCGAAGCCAGGCAGTCACTCCCAGCCCCAGCACTGGTTTTTATAACCCATACCAGCTGTTGATTCCCCTTCTGGGTATATCTTGGGCGTGTGTCCAAAACTTGCTCTTCGCATCCCTGAGTTCTCCTCTTCTGCTTCTTTTGGTCAATCTTTTGATTTTGAGAACCTCACACTCATCTTCAAATCTCTTCACACCCTGGCACCTCCCTACCTCACTGACCTGCTTACCCCCCCAAGCCTCCAAATCACTACCCGCTGCCTCTGCTCGATTGGGTCCGACCTCCTGCTTGTCCCTCGTGCCCTCCGTTCTACAATCGGTGGCTGCATGGCTCTGTTTACTTACTTTTGAGCCACTACACGCTGAGTGGGGAGGGGAGGAAAAAAAATGACGGTAGGCACTGTAGGGTCAAAGGTCGAAGGACCAAACAACAACAACCTGCATTTATATAGCTCCCTTCACATGGGGCAGCATCTCGAGAGCCTCGATGGTTCTGTATTTCAGGGGACAAGGGAATTGAAGCCTTAAACGAGGTTGAGGGAGGGAGCGAGTCAGAGGGACTCCGGGATGGAGTTCCAGAGACCAGGGGCAGATGATTATTTATTATAGATGTAAAATCTACCTTCTCACAGTTCAGTGAGAATTGCGGGCAGATTTCTTGTGAGAAACGGGCAATCAGCTGGGATGGTCTTGTGTGTTGGGTCAGTTGCACTCAATTGGAGAACCTCCTCATATACTTCTTAATAAAAATAATAATAATTCTTGCATTTGATACAGCGTCTTATCACGTCGTTGAGACTTCTCAAAGCGCTTCACAGAATATACTGTAAAGTGAATCGACTGTATATTTTGTAGGCCAAACAATCATGGATTGAGTGACCACATTATTATTTTTTTTTGGAGGGATTATTATCCCCGAAAAGTAATCTGCCAATCGACTAACAACTGGGTTCCTACTACTGCTAGGTGGAGTAAGAAAACTGGCCTACGGTTTTGCTCCGCCTGGGAATCGAACCTGGGTCCCCTCGCTTGTGAAGCGAATACTCTAACCAATATGCCACAGAACCCCACAACTCACAAGAATTCACAACTTGCAAATCGGAGGGTAACTCCATGAGTGGACCCAGACGGTACGAAGACCCGAGAGATTCTCTTAATGGGTCTCAGAGAAACGTAGTAACTTTCAGGCCCTTGTCTGGACTTGCCTTCATTCACTTTTGAGCTGGGTGGATTTCCAGAGCCTGGGACCGCTACCAAGGTGACGATATTTCCATCTGTTAATGAGCTCCCCCCAGGCTAAAGCTGCCTGACTGATCTCCTTCCAGACATGAAGTGCTTTTGAAACATTGTGCCCTCCCTTTAGGGAGGGCGGAAGGGAGGGAGGGAAAGCGAAGAAACAAACACAGCACATGGGGTCTCAAAGTGACTCAAAGTTGGCTGGACTTTTGCTGCTAAGGATTTAGAGCAAACAGCATTGGAAGAGTGTCTGTGAACCTATTGACTTGGCTGTGCATACACATGGGCACTACTTGTTCTCACAAGAGAGAATTCTGAACCAGAGAGATTAACCGAATAGGATGAAATGAAACAGCTGTAGAAATGGAGCAGTTGAAATCACAAGAGAGGTTTGGGTGCAGAAAGACCTTCAATCCATTCGTGTGTCAGCCAGTCATCGTCAGAGGGGCTGTCCTTCGGGTGAGACATTAAACTGAGGCCCCATCTGTGCCTATTCAGGTGGATGTTAAAGATCCCGTGGCCCTATTTCAAATTTCTCTCTCGCGGTCTCCTGGCCAATAATCCTCCGTATAAAATTGGTCACTCACTTCATGGCTGTTTGTGGGATCCCTTTTTGGTTAGCCAAGTGTCTGACACATGTGGAAACCCATCTCGAGGCTTAAGAGTCTCTAAAACAAACTGAGAATTCCATGCATCCCACTCACACATGGAAATCCCAGAGAGAGATTGTTGGGATGGAATGTGCTCTCTCTCTGGGGGGCCACATTCCTGCTTACCTAATTCTGGAAAGTATTAGGCGCAGGTTGGCGAGAGGCAATACTTTTGGACCCCAGAGTGTGCGTTGGGGTAACTGCTGAGTCTAACCAGCTAAAACCACATAGCTTGCCATTAATATCCTGACTGGCAAGCTTTCCCGCTGCTTGTCCAGCTAGAACCACCCTACCCTTTAGGGTTTTAGCTTGCAACTGTCCAGCGCCTTGGGACGTCCTCCCGACGTGAAAGGCGCTCTATAAATGGAATCTTATTGTTGTTGTTGCAGAGTTAACAGGACCTGAGTGGGAGAATTCCCTGCCCCCAGTGATTGGTCAAAGAGTTAATGGCCTTTAAGGTCTACCTAGAGAGACAGATGGGACCTCGGTTTAATGTCTCATTTGAAGGACGGCACCTCGAGAGGCAGTGCAGGGGAAGCACTGGGAGAAACCACCTCCTCTTTTCCGAAAGCAAGGTAGGATCTTTAACATCCACTCGAGTCCGAATTTGGATTAAAAACTCAATCCTGATTCCCTGTTCTTAATAATAATAATCATTGCATTTTATGTAGCGCCTTATCACGTCGTCAAGACGTCTCAAAGAGCTTCACAGAATATACTGTAAAGTGAATTGGCTGAATATTTTATGGGTGTAACGTAGCAGCCAATTTTGCACAGCAGTGTCCCACATACTGTTGTGGATTAAGATCCGCCAATCGACTAACAACCGGGTTCCTACTTACTGCTCGGTAATCAGATGAGTGTAGAGCAAGGAAACTTGCCTAACATTTCTTCCCGTCCCCTTTAATCGCAGCTCCCTGCGGCTCCAGTAGCTTGTTTGTGTGTGGGTTTTTTAGGTTGCTCAGGCAATAAGAGATTTTGAAGCAATCCGGTGTTTACTTGCTACTAGGCACAATCCACTTGGGAAGGCCCATGGTCTACCTTGTACTGGAAAGTTTGAGGAATTCAGTGGAGTTGGCAGAGCGGTTGCAAAAATGTCCTCAGCAATCCTCCAAAGACATGCCTTTTTGCTCATTAAGTTCGAATTAGAGAGAGCTGCTGGCTTCCATTCCCCGACAATGATCAAATCCTTAATTGGCAATTGCTGAGAAACATGAGTGACAGCACTTTCAGGTCACAGTGCTCTGATTTACAGGGTCAGTTTAACACAGTTGGATTCCCATAACGACTGATGTCAACTGGTAACACAATATGCCACAGCTGTAAATGATGGTACACGTGTGTGGGATCATAACAAACCATACATTTGACTTAGTCCCTATAACATCAAAACGTCTCAAAGCACTTAACAGAAAATAGTGATGATAATCGTAATAATGATCCTTGCATTTCATATAGTGCCTTATCACTTAAATTATTATTACTTATATCGTCGAGACGTCGCAAAGTGCTTCACAGGATACTTGGTCACTGACACACCTTTTCTCTCCCTGATCTGCATGTTTTGTTCCAAGTTCTTCCCCCCCCCCCTTTTTTGTTCTGCAGTATGAACACCTCTATTCCCCTGCTTTATTGCAATCCCCTTCTTTGTTTTGCATCATCAACACCTCTTTAACCCATCATCCCCTGGCCTCTACCCCATTTTCTCCTTTGTCTTCCTTGCTCTGCCTCCCCCTTCTCTGTTAGCCCTTAAAAGCCTCTCCCTCCCAACATGCCTCAGTTCTGACGAAGGGTCGTGGACCGAAACGTTGACTCACTTTCCTTTCTCCATAGATGCTGCCTGACCTGCTGCGTGTTCCCAGCGACTTCTGTTTTTGTTTCCACTTTACAGTATATTCTGTGAAGTGCTTTGAGACTTCTTAACAGTGTGATAACGCGCTGTAACAAATGCAAGGATTATTATTATTATTATCATTATTATTGCAAAATGGAGAGACTGCAGGCAAAATTTTACAGCCAGTTTGCACACAACAGTGTCCCACAAACAGTCGTGGAGTGAGTGACCAATCTTATTTGGGGGATTATTGGCCAGGACACCGGGAGAGAGTGAGAAACTCTCTTTTTTTCGAATAGTGCCATGAGATCTTTAACATCCACCTGAACAGGCAGACTTGGATTAACATCTCACCTGAAGGACGGTACCTCTGACAATGCAACACCCCTCCAGCCCTGCACTGGAGCATCATCTTAGACTGTGTGTAATTCCAAAACCTGATGTGGGGCTCGAATCCACAACCGCTGACTCGGCGAGAGTGATACCACTGAGCCAGGCTGACACACAGCTGCTGCCAAGTGCCCTGACTGCCAATTATTATTATAAACCAGGAGAAAGACTTCACATTCCTTTGAAACAATAACAGAAGAGAGGTCCCTTAACAACCCCCAACCACCCCCTCCCACACTGAATTGCCCAGCAGACAACCAAATGATAAATAACACAATCAAGAAACGGGATAACAGTCGGGGGAAAGTTAAATTGTATCTAATCTAATAATTTTGCAGTTAATCTGCGCCAGGAAAGTCCCACACACAGCAGGCAATGAGTGAACAATGGTTATTATCAGCACTTGGGCCTCATTATAACATGGCACAGGGCCAAGGTGTCACGTTTTCCTGAGCACAACATCAATTATTTAACTCCCGCAAGCGTGAAGGTTTCAGATTCTTACCCTGAGGGCTCTGACTGTACAATGATGGGTCTGGGGAGACGGCAGCCATGTTCTGCGACATTGGTTGCAGTGCTGGTGTGTTGAACATGCAAAGGAAGAAGAGTATTAATCAGAGATCAGCACACTTTTCTTTGTGGCCAGCCGGGTGTCTGACACACTCGGAAACCCAGAGTGCATCCAAACCCAACTGAGCATTCCACATGTGTATAGCATAACGCCCTCACAGAGAAATTTCCCCGTCTGGAATGGAATGTGCACTTGCTCACCGGAGCGACGCACCTTGTTTACCCAATTCTGAGAGTATTAAGTGAGGGTTGACAAAAGTCAAAGCGGAGTGTACACTGGGGTAACTGCCTGGGGTCTAACCAGCTAAAACCACACAGCATGCCATTGAAAGCATTGTCTGGCAAGCTTTGCCACTGCTTGTCCAGCTAGGACCACCCTACCCGAAGCAGTGATCGAAGCAGATAATACTGATGAATTTAACAGGCAGAGCGAGGGATATACACGAGGGAGAAGGGAACAGAAGGTTAAGGGAGGGTGGAGAAACATGCTAAGTATAAACTCTGACATGGATTGGTTGGGTCGAATAATAATAATAATCCTTGCATTTGGTACAGTGCCTTTCGTGATGGAGGATATCCCAAAGTCCTTCACAGGATTTACTGTGCAGTGACTGTGTATTTGTGGGCAAATGTGACAGTCAATTTGCGCTCAGCAAGTCCCGCAAATGAAGTGAATGACCAGTTGTATTTGAGGGATTGTTGGCCAGGACACCGGGAGAGAGAAACTCCCTTCTCTTTTCGAATAGAGCTGCGGGATCTTTAACATCCGGTTTAAATTTCCTTACTCCACACACCTCTGTTTACCCAGCAGTAAGTAGGAACATGGTTGTTAGTCATTTGGCGGATCGGTTTCCGGGGGTAATAATTGTGTCACTCAACCCACGACTATTTGTGGGACACTCCTGTGCGCAATTGGCTGTTGCGTTTCGCGCACAAAAATACAATCAATCCACTTTACAATATATTCTGTGAAATGCTTTGAGTTGTCTCAATGGCGTGATAAGATGTTTATCAAAAGCAAGGATTACTATTATTATTGTTATTATTATTAATTCGTCAACCATCTTATGACTTAGTGGGAACTTACTGGCACAAATGGTTATTTTTGCTTACACTGTACTAGACGGTAATTACCAGTAATATTAATAATAAGCCTAGTATTTGATTTAGTGCATTATCATGTCGTTGAAATGTCTCAGTCTGCTTCACAGGATTCACTGTAAAGTGCAGTGACTGTGTGTATATGGCCGAACATGGCAGCCAATTCCCGCACAGAAATGTCCCACAACAGCAACGGAGTGAGTGACCAATTTTATTTGGGGGACTGTTAGGCAGGACACCAGGAGAGAGAAACTCCCTTCTTTTTTCGAGTTGTGCCATGGGATTTTTAATGTCCACCTCAAAAGGCAGTCGGGAACTGAGTTTAAACACCTCAGCCGACGGGTGGCACCTAATAATAATAATAATGCTTGCATTATAGTACCTGCCCTCCGTGCCCCCGAACCCAACCCCCAGCTCGAGTCCAAATCCCTGACTGTCCAGCAGCACCTTGGGGCATCCTCCTGATGTGAAACATGCTATTCAAATGTAATTTTGTATTGTATTATCACATCTTCATGTCGTCTCAAAACGCTTCACAGAATACACTGTAAAGTGATTTGACTGTATACTTTGTGGGAGCTTGAACCCAAACCTTCTGACTCAGAGGCGAGAGTGCTACTGACTGAGCCAGGCTGCGCTTGTAAAATACTTTGAGGCTTATGACGTTGAAGGTGCAGTAAAAATAGTAGTTCCTTCTTTCATCTGATGTACTGGTATGTCACCTATCCGGTTATGTGAAATACCTTCTCATAGAATCATAGAATTATACAGCATAGAAGGAGGCCATTCGACCCATTGTGTCTGTGCCGGCTCTTTGAAAGAGTTGTCCAAATTAAACCCACTCCCCCGCGCTCTCCCCAAAGCCCTGCAAATTTGTGCTCCCCAAATATCTATCTACTTCTCTCTTGAAAGTTGTTATCGAATTGGCGTCCACCACCCTTCCAGGCAATGCATTCCAGATCTGAGTCTGGCCTCTGATCCACTACGTGCAGGAAAATTCTGGCTCAACTGACAATTTGTAGGTCTGGATGTGTGTCAGCCTGGCTCAGTGATGGCACCCCCACCTCTGAGTCAGAAGGTTGCGGCTCATATATTCCTAAAAAGACACTCTAATGCGCTGCTGGTCTATGCTGCACTGTCAGAGGTGCCGTCTTTCAGATAAGACATTAAACCAAGATCCCGTCTGCCTGTTCAGGGGGACGTTAAAGATCCCGTAGCTCTATTCGAAAAGGGAATTTCTCTTTCTTGGTGTCCTGGCCAACAATCCCCCAGATAAATTTGGTCACTCACTTCATGGCTGTGCGTGAGACATTACTGTGCGCAAATTAGCTGTCGTGTTTCGTCCACAAAATGCACAGTCACACTTTACAGTATATCCTGTGAAGCACTTAGAGACATCATGCCGACATATAAGGCACTATATCAAATGTAAGGATTATTATTTAATCTTACTGTTGAATAAGAGAAGTGAGTTTCTCCCTGTTGATAAAATTGGTTATTTACCTCATGGATGCTTGTGGGATATTATTGTTTGCAAAATGGCTGCAATGTTCACCTACTAATACAGTCACTACACTATACTGCAATTTCTTACGACTGGGCAGTGCTCCCCCCAGTATTGGGTTGGAGTCCATCAAGGGGCACCCTAGTAGCAGTGGCCAGTCGAGCTTAGTGGATAATCAAGGTCACTGTTCATTCATAGCTAATAATTATTAAAAAAACATTAATAATCCCTTCAAAAATAAATAAAACAATAATAACTATTTGGGACTGTTTGTGGGACACTGCTATGTGCACTTGGCTGCCGTGTTTGGCCCACAAAATACACAGTCACTACACTTTACAGTATAATATCCTGCGAAGCGCTTTGAGACAGTTCAACGATGTGATAAGGCGCTATATCAAATGCAAGGATTATTATTATTCAAATTCCTTGAGGGAATCTTGCCGTAACTATCACATTATAACTATTACACCCGCATTCACCTCCCACTGCACCATAGAGGTGTCAAAACCTGAGCTTCCTGCAGAACACGTCTGATCACTGAGAGAGTGACTCAGTCACCAGCACTCCCCATGCGCACCCTTTAGATGTTCTCTAACGCCAATCAGACATGTCAGAGACAAGGCCCTGCCTGCTGCCATTGGTGCTTCTACTAATAATAATCGTTGCATTTGATATAGCGCCTTATCACATCGTTGAGACGTCTCAAAGCGCTTCACAGGAAATATTGTAAAGTGGATTGACTGACCGTGTATTAATATTGACTGTACTGGATTTGCAAGCAACAGAACTCCAGAACGCTGCCCCAGTCTGGGGTAACCAAAAGCGAGAGTGAACTGCCACTGTTGTCTGGGTGAGGGCGCGAGGATAGGACCAGGGTCCGCTGTGGGAGGGGCAGCAGTCAGTCGTTGGGGGGGTTGTAAAGAGAGAACAGTCTATTGGGGAAGGGAGAAGAGTCCTTCGGGGGTTGGGGGCGGGGGGAGTCAATTGGATAAGGGGAGTTGGACTATCATCAGAATTGGGGGAGCGAGGGAGAGGGCCAGAGTGCACCCCAACCATATTTAAGCTTGCGTATCCGAGATGAAAAAACAACAACAGCAAGATTGCATTTATAGAGCGCCTTTCACGTCGGGAGGACGTCCCAAGGCGCTGTACAGTTGGGTCAGGACCCGAGCATTGGGGGGAAATGGTCAGGGTGAGGGGATGGAAGGGAGGGAGCGAGGAGGGGGTAGAGAGTCGAGAGGGGAGCTGAAGGCACAATGTAGTAATAATAATCCTTACATTTGCTCTAGCGCCTGATCACTTTGTTGAGACGTCTCAAAACGCTTCACAGGATATACTGTCAAGTGAATTGACTTTTGTTTGCGGGCAAAATGTAGCAGCCAATTGCGCACAGCAGTGTCCCACAAACAGTTGTGGCTTCAGGGACCAAATCAGTATTTAAAAAAAAAATTGGCAAGGATTATTACCCCCAGAAAGCGACCTGCCAACTGACTAACAACTGGGTTCCTACTTATATACAATATAATACAAACTGACATTTACCCGATGCCTTATACAATCCATTGAGAAGTGAAGCGCTTAGAACACTTCCAACAGTCACCTCTACCCATTTGTTGTTCCAGTCCTGCTGTTAAGGGTGAGTGGGGAGGGTGGGGACAGACAGCCATTAAATGATTGATGTCTGGGCTCTGGTGTTACAAGCTCATAACTGGTAACTCATAACCTGCTCTAGTCGTCCCCACCCTGAATCAACAACATGCTGCAGACACAACCAGGGATGTGCGCTGATATGTCCTAGACGTAGGCAATTCCAGCCTGAAAAAAGGTAGTAAAACCACAAGGGTTCAAGTTAGACAAACCTCTGGAGCTTCTCCTCTTCACCCCTGACCCAACACGTCTGCCCGAAGGAGCCCTATCACTTGATTTGGCCTGAGGTGACCTCTCTGTGGTCAAGAACACAGCCAAGGTGTCATCTCATCTCACTTGGCAGCACTCTGGGATCAGAAGGTTCTGGGTTTAAATCCCACGTTGGGACTGATTACTCATATCATTATATCTCCGGTGCACTCATATTTGAGTTCCTACTCACTGCTGCATAAACAGAGGCGTGCGGAATAAGGAAGTTTCCCTAAGGTTTTGCTGCACTCGGGAATTGAACCCAGGTGCTTTCGGCATATAAGCCCTCTACTCTCTGGAACTCCATCTCCGAGGCCCTTCAACTCACCCCCTCTCCACCTCTTGGCCCCCAACCCTCAGCTCGGGTGTAAATCTTGGACTGTCCAGCACCTTGGGACGTCCTCCCGATGCGAAAGGCGCTATACAAATGTAAATTTGTATTTTATTGGAGAATGGGTAACTTATCAGAAATATCAGAGGAGAGTGGGTAGAAGGACGGAGGTTTGTCGGGGGGTGAAATTCATGACAAGTGGCTAATCAAGCCAGCTGAATAAATGATTCAAAAGGGAACCAAATAGACACTCGAGCAGTAACAAGATTAAGATTTTGGGGGGTCAGCTGGGTATCTGAGACATGTGGAAACCCATCACCAGGTTAAGAGTATCCAAACCGAGCTGAGAATTCCACGCAACCCACCTACACATGGAAATCCCAGAGATAGATTGTTGGAATGGAATACGCTCTCTCTCTCTCCCTGGAGAGACGCATCCTGCTGACCTAATTCCAGAAAGTATTAGGCGCAGGTTGGCAAGAGCCATGTCTTGGGGATCCAGAGTGACCCAGAGTTGGGGTAATTGCTGGAGTCTAACCAGCCAAACACCGCATAGCTTGCCATTGATATCACTGTCTGGCAAGCTATCCTGCTGTTCAAACAGAAAGGACCACCCTACACTTGAAACAACTTAAGAGATGGGGGCGAGAAAGCTACAAATTGAGGTTGATAAAAGAAGGAAAAAGTAGATAAACAGTGTAAAGGGGACGTTGTCTCTCTTTCAAGTAGCTTTCAAAGTAGGAAATACTAGAAGCCTTTATAAATAACTGACCTGGGTCACACTGTAACAATATGCCCAGTATATCTAAACTTAGGGTGTTTTGAGAGTTGTTTAATATACAGTTGACAATGGCATGTACAAAATCATATATGAAAGCAACACCTTTCATATCATTTTACAGCTGGATGGAACCAAAGGCAGCGGAAAGTAAAAACAGATCACATAACAATAAGTCGGGAGAAGATTTTAAGGCAGGCATGAAATTGCAAACATGCAAATTGTTTCAACAAGATTGATCAGTCCAATTGATCTGGCTGAGCCGAGCGAATGGTGTCAGTCAGTGTCATTCTTAGCTCTGAGCCAGAAGGTTATTCGCTAATGGCTTTCCAGGGGTAATAATCCCTCTCCCCCAAAAATGTGGCCATTCAATCCCTGACCGTTTGTGGGACACTGCTGTGCACAATTGGCTGCCGTGTTTAGTCCACAAAAACAGTCAATCCACTTTACAATATATTCTATAAGCGATTTGACATGATAAGGCGCTATATCAAATGCAAGGATTATTATTATTATAAGATTATGGGTTTAATGTCAGGATCTAACTTCCTAGTCGAGGCTGGGGGAGCACTGCATTGTCAGAAGTGCCGACCTTCGAATGAGACGTTAAACAGAGGCTCCGTTTTGCCTGTTCAAGTGGACATTAAAGATCCCATGGCATTATTCTGTAACGCTTATCATCCACATACGATACCAAGGCCTTGGAGAGGGTGCAGAGGAGATTTACCAGAATGGTACCAGGGATGAGGGGCTTACGTTATGTGGAGAGACTAGAGAGACTGGGATTGTTCTCCTTAGAGCAGAGAAGGTTAAGCGGAGATTGAATAGAGGTGTTCAAAAGTATGAGGGGTTTTGATAGACTAGATAGGGAGAAACTGTTTACACTGTCCGGTGGGTCGGTAACCAGGGGACACAGATTTAAGATAATTGGCAAAAGAACCAGAGGGGAGACGAGAAGAAAAAATTTACACAGAGAATTGTTACGGTCTGAAAGGGTGGTGGAAGCACAGTCAATAATAGTTTTCAAAAGGGAATTGGATAGGTACTTCAAGAGGAAAAATCTGTAAGGATATGAGGAAAGAGAGTGGGAGTGGGACTGATTGGCCAGCTCTTCCAAAGAATCGGCTCAGGTAGGATGGGCCGAATGGCCTCCTTCTGTGCTGTAACGTTCTATGATTCTATGACAACATACACACACACTCACCCCCACCCCCAAGCGTTGGCAGGCCTTAACAGACTCACACTGCAGCAGAGACTGGCAACAGTGTGGTGTACAGTACCTGAGTGGTGTGGCACCTCTGCTGGAGTGTTGGCTGGAGCGTGGGCACCGTGTGGGACCTGGATATTGGAGAACGTCCCCTCATGTGCAATATCCTCCGAGAGGTTTGAGTCAATCGTGTACTGAGGGCCACCACCGGAGGTGGAAGGTTCATGTTCTTCATCTTCTGCAGCAGATAAAACATTTCATCACTCATTATTTCAAATAATTTAACAATAACTGTGTCAGCCTGGCTCAGTGGTAGCTCTCTTGCCTCTGAGTCGGAAGATTGTGGGTTCAAGCCCCCAGGTCGCGACTTGGAAACACAGTCTAAGCTGATGCTGCAACTCGGCGCTTGGGGAGTGTTGCATTGTCGGAGCTGCCGTCCTTCAGATGAGACATTAAACCGAGGTCCTGTCTGCCTGTTCAGGCGGCTAATAATAATAATATAGAATAATCCTTGCATTTCTTTATGCTTTATCACATCATTGAGACTTTTCAAAGCGCTTCACAGGATATACTATAAAGTGAATTGACTGTGTATTTTTAGGCGAAACACTGTAGTCAGTCGCGCACAGCAGTGTCCCAAACAGGCAGATGGGACCTCGGCTTAACATCTCACCTGAAGGATATTAAAGATCCCGCGGTGCTATTCGAAAAGAGAAGTAAGTTTCTACCTGCGTCCTGCCCAACACTCCTCCAAACAAAATTTGGTCACTCACTTCATGGCTGTTTGTGGAAATTGTCTGCTGTGTTTGCCACAAAATAGTCGGTCACTATACTTCAAGTAGATCCTGTGAAGTGCTTTGGGACGTCTTCCTGACATGAAAGGCACTCTACCAATGCAAGGTTATATTAGCGTCTCCATGGTGCAGCACCTCGGAGCTCTTGATAGTGGCGGAGCAGGCACTGCCGGCAATGGTGGAGCGGAGGGGCCGAGGGATTTGCTGGAGGCCGGAGCCACTCAAGAGAGAATCCCATGTGGAGTCCTGTAGCGTAGTGGTTAGTGTGCTCGCCTCACAAGTGGGAGGACCCAGGTTCGATTCCCGGGCGGGGAGAAACATTAGGCAAGTTTCCTTACTCCACACACCTCTGTTTACCTAATAGTAAGTAGGAACCCGATTGTTAATCGATTGGTGGATCACTTTTCTGGGAGTAATAATCCCTTAATAAAAATAAATAATTTGGTCGCTCAATCCACAACTGTTTGTGAGACACTATTGTGCGCATTTGGCTGCTTCATTTCGCCCAATATATACAGTCACTCCACTTTACAGTATATTCTGTGAAGTGCTTTGAGACGTCTCGAAGACGCGATCAGGCGTTATATCAGAAGCGAGGATTATTATTATTATTTTTATTATTATGCGTTGAGGAGAGCCCTGTTTCTCGAGGAGAGCGTCGTGCCAAGCAACATCAGCTGCAAACATGGGAAACATTCTCCCCCCCCCCCCAAAAAAAAACTTCAGCGTGGAAGCAAACCTTCTAGGAAAGTAAGTGAAACGAAGCCAGGTTAGCCAGCGCCACTTCTTCTCATTCCTCTACAATGTAACCTCTCCCCGTTCCATTCCACTTACTCACTTGTTCCCTCCGCCAGCTAATGGAAAAGGAGACAGTGCTCAGAGCGACGCAGGCAAACAATGGTGCTCTTGTTACAAGCTCGGAAAGTCAGGGGACTCAATGTGCAAGGATTATTGGTGTTATTATGGTTCGCTCTGATAGCTTATGTGTGCCTCTGTTAACAGGACAAAAAAGGGTTCAGGGCATATAATAATAATCCACGCACTTGATTTAATCCTTGCGCTCACCACTAAGATAAGGGATTAATCGTGTCGTTGAGACATCGCAAAGCACTTGATAGCCTATATTGTAAACTGCTGTGGGCAATTGGCTGACGCATTTGGCCCCCAAAATACAGTCAGGCGCCGTGATAAGGCGCTGCTTCAAATACAAGCATTATTATTGTTGTTGTCATAAGATTAGACACCGTCCCTTACCAAACAATACTCCTTCAATGCCTATGGGTCCAGCTACTGGAGTCTCTCCAGTTTTGAAGCAGTTATGGAGATAAGCTGCCTTCCACTTTGCATATTTCTTCTGTTGAATGTTCTAGAGGAAAGAAAAGGACAATAAAGTCACTCGGACGGCAAAGAGGTTGAGGAGAGACATAAAGAATGTGCGTCTGGAACTCCCTGGTTCAACCTCTCCGCCTCTTCAGACTCTCCTCTTTGACCGTGCCCACCATTACCTATCTTTTCTCTCCGGCTCGGTGTCAAACTACAACAAAATTACATTTGTACAGCGCCTTCCACGTCGGGAGGACGTCCCACGCCATTATTAAGCACTTCAAGATGTTCCCCTGTGTGAATGACGCTATATCAATGCAATTTCATGTTTTGTGTCTTTCACTCTCTTTCAGGACAAGGTATTGACCGGCATGGGCTAGACAAAATCTCCCAAGGACACGTTAGCTGATGTGGTTGCAATTATCGGGACACAAGATACAGTGTTCGGTGAAGTGGACCATTAAATCATCGCTGGAAATAATTTAAATATTGCGGATAATAATAATATGGTCACTCAATCCACGACTGCTTGTGGGACACCGCTGTGCGCAATTGGCTGCCGCGTTTCGCCCACCAAACATACAGTGACTACACTTTACAGTATATCCTGTGAAGCGCTTTGAGACGTCTCAACGCCGTTATAATGTGCTATATCAAATGTAAGGTTTTTTTTACTGTCTATCTTTGGTTGTCATGCCTGAGGACATTCCTCCCCAACAATGCCTACGGTTACCTGCCCTCTCCCCCTGGCTTGGCGTGAGGCTCCGCCACTGTTAAGCGCTCTGAGACGCTACCCCGTGTGAACGATGATGTATAAATGCAAGTTGTTGTTGTTGTTGACCCTGAAAACATGGTGCTAATGGTGGGTGCTCTTCGCTTTAGGCCTTTACCACAGTGGTGCACCCGTGATGGTGTTATAACAAACAATACCTGCATCTGATGTAGCACCTTTCACTTTGGGAAGACATCTCAATTGTTTCACAGGATTTCTCTGTCCACTGAAGTGACTGTGTACCTTGTGTGCGAAAATAGCACCAATTTTGCGCATATCAATGTCCTCCAAACTGCCATGAAGTAAGTGTCTGATTTTATCTGGGGGATTGTTGGCCAGGACACCGAGAGAGAGAAACTCCCTTCCCTTTTCCAATGATGCCTTAAGATCTTTCAAGTCCACCTAAACAGGCAGTCAGGCCATACGGACGGCACCTCCAACATGGCAGCACATCCCCAGCACTGCACTGGAATGTCAGCTTAGACTATGTGATTCCAAGTCCTGACGTGGGGCTTGAACCCACAACCTTCTGACTCGGAGGTGAGAGCGCTACCACTGAGCCAGGCTGACACCTGGCTTGCAGGGTTAACAGGAGCTGAGTGGGAGGATTCCCTGCCCCCAGTGACTCTCTCTCCTTCCAGGTCCTGCCGATGAGCCGGGCCGTGCCCTGGAATACTGTGGACCCGCCTGGCTCGGGAACCGGACTAGAGACTGCCACAGAGGGTTGGCTCATATTCCGTTCTCAAGCCTTGGAGCCAGCTCAGCTCCGAGTAGACCCCGCTCACCCCTACTTCCCCAGGAGGATTTTGAGCACAGAAAAGCCAGGAGGCGAGTACAAAACACCATGCGGGAGACCGAGAGGAGGGAGTAGGCTCGGGCCGGTGGGGGGCAGGGGGGGAGGGGGGCAGAGAAGGGGGAGGGAAAGCAAGCAGTTGTATTGCCCAATAATTTTTGAAGGAAAACAACATCTATTCCAAATCTCTTGAGCCAAATAATTATATTAAACATGCATTTGCTGCCATCTTCTTCCCATGGGTTAAATGGCTTCCATCCAACACCCTTGGGGACCGGTTATTTACACAGTAATCAGTCAACACATCTTGGTCTCCTTACAGCGGACCCCCTTCATTTACTCTGAGAAATTCCCCCTTACCCAACCTCCAGGAATGGTCCTCGAGGGGTCTGGGAGGAGAGAGAGAGGAGGGAGAGAGATGGGGACAGGAGAGAGAGAAGAGGGAAAGAGAGAGGGCAGGAGAACGGGAGAAAGAGAAGGAAAGCGAGGGAGAAATGGGGATGGAGAGAGAGGAGGAAGTGGAGAGGGAGAGAGAGAAAAGGAGAGAAGAGGAGAGAGAGCAGGAGGGGGAGAGAAAGAGAGAGGGGGGGCGAGTGAAGTGGTGGGGAGCGAGAGAAAGGGGTGGGGGGTGGGAGAGGGGGAAGGGGAGAGAGAGAGAGAGAGAGAGAGAGGGGGAGGGGGAGAGAAGAGAGGGAGAGAGAGCCAACGACAACTGGAAAAAGTGACGAGGAAAAAGGGGGTTGCGATTTGGAGATACAGTACAATGCGCTCCTTTTGTTTCGCTTTGAAACAAACCTTTTCTTTGTTTCTTGGTCTCACTCAAACTGGTGAAGGCAATGAGAGGCGGGGAGAGGCGGGGGAGGCGGGAGGGGGGGGGGGCAATGCTTTGGAAGTAAACCAGGAAACAAATAAACTGGATCCACTGTGATTAAATCTACTTTTGCTTTTGTAACAAAAAAAGTTATAAATTATATTAATTTGACTTCAAGTCCCAATGTGTGTGTATATATATATTATAATAATAATAATCCTTGCATTTGATACAGCGCCTTATCACGACTTGGAGACGTCTCAAAGCGCTTCGCAGAATACACTGTAAAGTGAATTGACTGTACATTTTGTGGGCGAAACGCAACAGTCAATTGTGCACAGCAGCGTCTGTCCCACAAACAGCCGTGGATTGAGTGAACAAATTATTATTTTATTTTTGAAGGGATTATTACCCCCAGGAAAATGATCCACCGATCGTCTAACAACCGGGTTCCTACTTACTGCTCGGTAAACAGAGGTGTGTGGCGTAAGGAAACTTGCCTGACGTTTCGCCCCGCCCGGGAAGGAAACCCGGGTCCTCTTGCTTGCAAGGCGAGTGCTCTAACCAATACACCACAGGACTTTACTTGGGTCAGAAGTTTACAACAACAACAAGATTGCATTTGCCTTTATAGCATTTCAGACCCGAGCTGGGGTCAGGGAGGGAGAAGGGAGGGAGGGGAAGGGGTGGTGACCGATGGCATGGTCGAAGAGGAGGGTCTTGAGGTGGGACTTGAAGGAGGCTAAGGAGGGGGTGAGTCGGAGTGATTAGGGGATGGAATTCCAGAGGTTGGGGGCAGAGTGGCTGAAGGCGCTCCCGCCAATGGTGGGGCGGGTGGGTCGGGGGACGTTGAGCAGCCAGAGCCGACTGAGCGGAGGGAACGGGCGGGTTGGTAGGAGGTTAGGAGGTCGCAGAGGTAGGGTGGGGTGAGGCCATGGAGGGCTTTGTATGTGAGGACCAGGATCTTGAACTGGATCTTCTGAAGGATAGGGCGCCAATGGAGTCGGGCGAGAGTGGGGGAGATGGGGTCACGGAGTTTGGTGTGGGAGAGGACACGGGCTGCAGAGTTCTGGATTATCTGCAGCTGTGGAGGGAGGGGTTGGGAAGGCCGACACGCATGGCGTTTGCATAGTTGAGCCTGGAGGTGATGAAGGCATGAACAAGAGTTTCAGCGGCCTGAGGTAGTGGCGGTTTAAGGGTTTGAACACCCCCACACTGGGACTTTGCGCTCATAGGCTAGGTTGATGTAATTTTGTTGTTGTTGTTAATAATCCTTGCATTTGATATAGCGCCTTATCACATCTTCGAGACGTCTCACAGAGCTTCGCAGAATATACTGTAAAGTGAAATGACTGTTTAATTTGAGGGCGAAACGCAAGGATTGTTGTTCACCTCAGTGGGTCTCGCCAGCGCGAATGGCTTGCTGTATTTGCCTACAAAACACAACCGTTACACTGGATTCCAAGACAGTCCCCTGTTCTGTGTGTCAGACAATAAAGCCCTGGATAAGTCTCGATTTCCTCAGCTAAATCTCAACACCGGCTCTGATTCCATCCACCCCCCTGGCCATTCATTAGGCTCGCACAGTCAATATGCAACCTTGGGCAAACTTCACAACTGGTCCTGGGCTCAGGGCAGCCTTTTCCTTCGTCAGAACACTGCCTGCCTCTCACCCTCACCCCCTCTGGAGTTGACCTCCTGTTACGCAACACACCGGTCGGTCTCTATCATCGCCCCCACCGGACCCAGCCAATTCCTTCCCACTTTTCAACATCTATCTCTTTAACGGCACTCAGTCATCTTTCCTTCCCAGCTCTCCAGCAAGCTCGGTTGCCTGGTCGAATGTGTGAAGCGCTTTGAGACGTCCTTCTGACATGAAAGGAGCTCATGGAGTCCCGTAGCTCAGTATTTAGAGCACTCATCTCGCAAGCGGGAGGACCCGGGTTCGATTCCCAGCCAGCGCAAAACCTTAAGCAAGTTTCCGTACTCCACACGCCTCTGATTACCTCGCAGTAAGTAGGAACCTGGTAGGCGATTGGAGGATCGCTTTCCAAGGGTAATAATCCCTTCAAAAAAATTGGTCACTCAATCCACGACTGTTTGTGGAACACTTTTGTGCACAATTGATTGCCACATTTCTCCCACAAAATACACAGTCAATTCAATTTACAATATCTTCTGTGAAGCGTTTTCAGACGTCTCAAAGTCCTGATAAGACACAAAATCAAAGAGGGATTTTTATTATTACATAAATATAAGTTGTATTACATTTATGCAATAATAAAATAGGCATCAGAATGGCAATGAAAAGCTTTGAACTGAACATATCAAGAGATGTGAAGGATAATAACAATAAGTTTTTTAGTTCCATTAAGAGTAGAAGAAAAATAAACAATGGAATAGGGCCACTGAGGGTTGGTTCAGGAGACAACATGACAAGTACAGGCTGCAGTAGTGCTAAATAAGGTATTTGCATCAGTCTTTACGGGTAACGACCGGAGACGGGAGGAGATGGTTAACTTATCTGATCTGGAAAGAGAACTCAAGGATGTCACAGAGAAAAGTTGCAACACTATTCATATCACTACCAGCATGGTTGCCAAACAGCTGTGTAAACTCAAGGTAAATAAACCTCAGGGACAAGGTAATTGCATCTGAGGATCCTTA